CCACGGTGGTCTAGCGGTTAGGACGCTGGCCTTGTAATCCTGGGGTCTCGGGTTCGATTTATAACTTGTGTTGTTCAAGGCCGTGGTCTAGGCAACACGGAGTTTTTCTCCGTGGCATCCCAACAATAACTCCTTTCACACTCACACAGAAGAAGGCAATGGCAAACCACTTCTGGATCATCTGCCAAGAACGTATATGAACAGGTCCCAGTCCGAGAAAAGGATGGAAGGACCCTGTTCATATGGACCTGTCGTCAGACAGAACACTAAATAAATAAAAATAATAGTTGTTTGTCTGTTTATATTCATTTTAATACATCAGCAACATTAGGTAACAAACAAAATTCTTACAATACTGCCAACCCAAATTGAAACTGGAGTATACATTCAGTACTCCACTGCACCCTCTCCTTCTCCTTAAACAGAATCTCTGCCGGCCTCCTCGTACTCCCTCGCCAGGGCTGCAAGATCCTTGCGAGCTTCTAAGAACTCGTCTTCTACCATACCCTCATCCACGTAACAGTGAACACGGGAACGCTTAGCATATAAGCGGTCGAACTTGTCGTTAATGCGAGCAAAGACCTCGGCAATGGCGGTCGTGTTGGACAACATGCATACGGCACGCGGTACCTTTACCAGGTCGCCTCCAGGAACCACAGTTGGTGGCTTGGAATTGATGCCATACTTGAAGTTAGTTCGACGCCGGTCCACGAATTGGATCGAGCGCTCGGTCTTGATGGTCGCGATGGTAGTGCAGACGTCCATGCACTTAACGTCCCCTCTGTACAGCATGCAGCAGGCCATGCACTTTCCATGTTGTGGGTCACATTTCAACATCTGGTTGGCAGGCTTTAAACAAGCATTTGTAATTTGACGTACGGTAAGCTGCTCATAGCATATCCTCGCAGCAGAGGTGAAAGGGGCATAGGTAACCAGAGGGAAGTGCAGGCGGGGGTTGGTCACCAAGTTACTATGGATTTCATTCAGGTCAACGTTCAAAGCGCCACCAAACCGATGAGAATCAGTAATGTAAGATACAACCTGGCCAATCAGTCTGTTCATGCTGGTGAAGGTGGGGTTTTCAATGCCCAGGTTACGTCGGCAGATGTCATAAATGGCTTCATTGTCAACCATGAAAGCACAGTCAGAATGTTCAAGCGTGGCGTGGGTGGCGAGGATGGAGTTGTAGGGCTCGAAAATTACTGGATCAAAAGGGTCGGAGCAGATCGCAAATTCCAGCTTGGTCTTCTTTCCGTACTTATCTGACAGCTTTTCCATAAGGAGTGACGTGAAGCCTGAGCCAGTGCCACCACCAAAGGAATGGAAGATCAGAAAACCCTGAAGATCGTTGCAGGTTTCGGCCAGATGTTGGATGCGGTCCAGAACGAGGTCCACGATCTCCTTGCCGGTGGTGTAGTGACCTCGGGCATAGATATTATAGGCAGGTTCCTTACCAGTAATCAAATTACTAGGGTGGAATAGTTGACTATACGTGCCAGTGCGAACTTCATCTGTGGACACACCAGTCAACGTCCAATATCATCAACATTATTTACATGGTTGCATAGAAGCCACTTTGATGTTTGTGTTCCAGGAGATAAATGAAAGGCATGAAGGATGGGGCAAGAGTTAGAGGGGAAAAAAGACATTGCTACATTTCAACAAGCATTTCCGAATACAATTAAACAGGATGCTCCTTTGCTTCACTTATAAGATATCAAATGTGCATACCTACTACGGTGGGCTCCAGGTCCACAAAAACTGCTCTTGGCACATGCTTTCCTGTCCAAGACTCATAGAAGAATGTGTTGAAGCTGTCATCACCACCTCGTAGAGTCGTGTCAGATATAATTTGACCATCAGGATGAATACCGTGTTCAAGGCAGTACAACTCCCAGCATGAATTACCAATCTGGACTCCAGCTTGGCCAACATGAATAGAGATACACTCACGCTGAAACACAACACTACCTCAAAATTTAAAAATTTGAATACTCAGTGACAATAGTTCCTGCATTTCCGACATACAGCAACCGCCACGTGGAAGCAATATTAATTAAAAAATCATATTACTTTCGCATTAATTCGATTCCAAAACTTACATTTTATTAATCACAAGTAATAACGAATTTTGCAGAGGCAGCACATTTCATTCGTGAAAAACATTGTAATCAAAGAACACAACGAAAATTACTTCCTTAAAATATCTGAAAAGAGCAAAATATAGTACTTACCATTGTAGTAATAATCTGATGAGTTATAACAAAATATTGGCAGTGGAACAACGGTTCCAGAGATTGTAAAATCTGAAAACAGATATGAAAACCCCAAGAGATAATAAATACGTATTTCGTACGCAATATGTTCAGATCCATCTCTTACGGTTTTCGAGAGGCGGGCGCTTAACGCGCCAGATGCATTGGAAATTGTACACATTGGTACATTAAAATTACAATAAATGTATAAATGTTGTTTTTGCCGAATGACCCTTCCGTATAGACGTATTTACGCCAAAAGAAGACAAGCCTAATTCTCTTACACGAGTTCACAAATGCAGATAAAAACATTAAATGTGATGAACAATAATAATAATAAATAGGAATCCCTTACCTCAAACTTTGTTCAGTTGTAAGAGACAACGATCAATTTAATCAAAACTAAAATGGAGAGAGTATCACAGATTTCTTAATAATTCTTATATAAGATAAGGACTTGTGATTTTCTGAAATGTTTTTAACAGCAAAATGTTATCTACTTATTCTAAAAGCGATTCACAGCTCAGCTCTTTCCGCAATAACGAAAGCAGATTCTTGACGGCAGTAATGAAACACAACAATGCCGAGTAAATAGATGACGTTTGCTAGGTAACATAACAATGCCGAGTAAACAGATGGCATAATAATTAGTTTCTTAGGTAACGAAGTGGATTGCAATACGGTTTATTCAGGCAATTATACAGCATGCACAATAAATGAGAAAAGAGCCTTACGGCATGCTCAGCCAATATTGTTGCAGGCGTGTGTTAAAAATTCGAATCCTTTTTCTTGCATTGTTATGCACGCAGTTCATATAAAAGCTGGCCATTGTTGGTCCATATTTACAACCTCCCATCAGCAGCAACAGATCCCAGTTTGAATGGTCGAGGCTCCCGCCACGACGAAACCCCGTTAGCGTTAGCAAAATTTCCGTTCTTATATTAAGAACGTTTACCATTTCCAGCAATGCGTCTTGTGCGCAGGAATGGTTTCACCTAGGTAGGGACGATGCTTGCGCTTGCGCAGGCCTCCGCCCTCAGTTAGCTTCTTTGGTTGGTTGGTTGGTTCCATATTTACACATTGTTGGTATGGGTCCTACACATCTTCGTAACGCTGTTTTTGTCGAATGCCCCTTCCATATAGACGTATTTACGTGAATAAACGCTAGTTTACGATGTTGTTCTGTGTAATGTATGTAATGTGACTAGCTTTGTGGAGTTGTACCTCATCACCTAATGTAGCAGATTTTATATGAAAATAACACCGTTATAATGAATGAGGTATGCAAAATAGCACGCAAAACCTGTCATCGGTGTAAATCTCTGCAGGAAAATATCCGATCCATGTGTATTAGTCCTTTCATATTCTTTGATGCGTATGAGTCGTCAGCACATTCGTGTGATAACAACTACATTGATATTTATCAAGTTTTGCTTGTTAAAATATAAATACTGTGTTCTTCTGATTGGACAAAATACTTAATTTATCTGTATAACAGTTTTTATACAATTTACAAACATTTATTTTGAAATTTTTAGTAGGTAACGTTAAGTATTTTGGGTACACAAAATAGTATGCCATTGATATTATCTCAAAAGTTTTACGTATTAGGCTCGCATCGGTTTATGGCTAGTTACGGAGATGGCGCTGTGCAGTAGGAAACTTCTATCTTTATTATTCCGTCTACCATTTATCATTTCACCTCTGGTAGTTCACGTCCAACGTTTGACACAGCATCAGCTCACAATCTACTATTAAAATTTATCATCCAGTTTCATCCATATCGGAAAAACCTCCGATCTTTCTTTTTCTATCCAAATATAAGCCTATTTGTGAAAGGACGTATAAAATAAACCATGTCAATTTTCAGACAATACTGTCAAAAAGCAACGCCGATTTAATTACATGCTCTATTTTCAATTTCACAGCCGACACATTTTATAAAAAGGCCACTAATTCTGTTTTGTGTGCCGTGGATACAACCCAAAGGCATTAAAACACCCAATGCTCATTCGTTTAATTTCTTGCCCCAATGAAAAAGGGTAGAGAGAGAGAGAGAGAGAGAAAGAAAACTCTTGATATGGGCATGTTTATAGAGTATCAAGAACACGACCGCTTATGAAATCCTTGAGTATATGGATATCACGCATGTAGGCATTTAATCCTTTACTGACTCCGTCTTCAATAAACCAGAGCCTAAATTTTTGAAATAACACAACTAAAAAATGTGTATTACTTAGAACATTCCCCTCTCTTCCATTATATCGTCAATGGTGTGTTTACGTTAAGAGTGATCATTCTGTGCAAAAATTCGCTTTATTTATAAAACCAATAAATCTCCATTTAACACTGAAATTAAGATTCGTATTAAATATATAAAATAAGCGCATTTTGTTCTATCACTGACGTAAACGTAGAATTTTGATAATCATATTCATGAACTAGTGGCTTCAAAAACTCTAACCCAGCCGCAGTGTCTCTGTGCGTCAAGCATTCTTAAATGTGGCCGAGAGTCTCCATTATATTTCTTGTTCTAACTGCTATTAATGAATGCATTTCGAGAATGATTCGGTAAATGACTTTTCTTCGTTCACATTTTGGTGCAGACACATTAGTGGCGCCTTTAAAGTAGCTAATCGGAAAAGTCATTACACGAAGAACAGTTTAGTGTAACAGATATCAACGGAGATATGTTCTATTAATGCGAACGAATGTCAAAACTCAGCTCATACTCAAAGTCACAAGGTGTCTGGATCGCCTTTTAGAAGTACGCAATTTAAATACTGGACAGAAATGCACTGTTTATTGTAATGTACAATAAAATGAGCATATTCTATCAAAATCCATGAGCATACAAAATTTAATCTTCGTATCCACCGCCGTGAGAAACTCAAATCCTAGTAAAATTTCATCAGTGTACATTAACAGGCGTTGGTAGTTGGAGACTTTCAATAAAACCGACCTGCTGTACATTTATAATTATACTACATTATGTTACGCAAATACTTGAGATAGACTGTATACGATGTTTCAAGACTTCTTTCTACTCGTGTCTTGTATTTAGACTGACTGTCGAAACGCACAGGTAGTTTACAATCTCACTATCTGACGGTGTTCGAGAGGCGGGCGCTTAACGTGCCAGATGCATTCAAAATTGTACACTTTGGTTCATTAAAATCATAATAAATGTATAAACAATTAAATTACAATAAAATACATTACAGATTCTTAAAGGTCCTTATTTACTGATCATTTTACATGTAGGTTACATTATCCTTATTCTTATCATTCCTGAGGAATGAACGTTTAAAGGTGACTCGGCGCTGGATCTTACACATCTTCGTAACTAACGCTGGTTTTGCAGAATGACCCTTCCGTATAGACGTATTTACGTCAAAATACATTTGGTACAAGTACGCAAGATATTTAGATGACAGCAGAGAAAAGGATGTAAGGTAAAAGAAAATTCACAAAAAATATGCTTTCAAAATGAACTCATTTTATAACTCTTAAAACTTTACAAACCGTGTAGTGTATTAGAATATAAATAGGCAAGCAAACAACTATTAACACTACAAAAAAGTAACTATTGCCATACGCGTTTCAACCTCAAGAGATCATCATCAGTGGCATCAGGGAAATCAATTCATTTAATTAAATGGATCAAACTTGATTTATCACTTAAAATATTTTTCGTCAAATGTCCTATTCATTATTTATTTTCTAAATCAAGTTTGAGCCATTTAATTAAATGAATTGATTTCCCTGATG